ATATTGAGCCCCTCTAGTGAGTTTGTTTTTTCACTTATTGTGCTTTTCACCTCTGGAAGTTCTATTTGGTTCTTCTTCCTCTTCCTCTTCCTCTTCGTCTTTGTCTTCGTCTTCTTTTTCTTCTTCTTCTTCTTCTTCTTTTTGAGGAAGATTAGCCCTGAGCTAACACCTGTTGTCAATTCTCCTCTTTTCTGCTGAGGAAGATTGGCCCTGGGCTAACATGCGTGCCCATCTTCCTCTACTTTATATGGGACGCCACCACAGCATGGCTTGATAAGTGGCGCATAGGTCCGTGCCCAAGATCTGAACCTGCAAACCCCGGGCTGCCGAAGCAGAGTGCACAAACCCAACCACTTATGCTGTTGGGCTGGCCCCTCTTCTTCTTTTTTTAAAATATAATTTTATCTCTTTATTGATGTTCTCTATTTGTTCACATGTCATTCTCATGCTTTCCTTTGGTTATTTGGACATAGTTTGCTTTATCATAGTTTGCTATATTTAAAGTCTTTGTCTACTAAGTTCACATCTGGGCTTCCTCAGCAACAATTTCTATTGAACAATTTTTTTTCTGTATGGACCCATACTTTGTTTCTTTGCATGTCTCATGACTTTTTATTGAAACCGTACATGTAAAATAATATAATGTGGCAACTCTGGAAATCAGATCTCTTCTTTCTCCATAATTTGTGGCTGTTTATGCTGTGTGCTGTTTGTGCCGTGTTTATTGTTGCTGCTGTATCTTTGTTTAGTGACTTTAATGAATGCTATAAAGTCTATAATCTTTTTTGTGTGTAACCACCGAAGATTCTTCCATTAGTTTAGTGGTCATCTAATAATTGGATGTAGCATTCCATAGATACTTGGAACCAGTAAATATACCAGCCTTTGCTGAGGGACTCTGTGTGTTTTTGGCCATGCCTTCAATGGTCAGGCAGGCAGTTTACAACTTTGCCATAGATTTAATTTCTTGTTATGCAGAGCCTCAAGGTCAGCCAAGGTGAGCGCTTAGGGTCTTCTAAAGTCTCTTGGGCATGCACCTGCTCGTGTCTGTGGCCTTCTAGAGTCCCAGGAATATGCCAGAGATTTTCAAAGCTCCCTTGGAAATCCTATTCTTGGCTTTTTATTTTATGTTTTTTAGTTAGCTTCTCATTTGCCCCAACTATTACCATTACCTAAGGCTGTTGCAAGATTTATAAATGAGGTTGATCGTTTTTTTGACAAATGCCCCAGGGAGAAAAAACTGTTCTCAGTGAGGGAGATTTCAGTGAGGCCAAAAGAGACAAGCCTGCAAATAAGAGTTTCTAGGAAACTGCCACACAGGTCAAATAATGGTAATTCTCTGGAAATGATGCTTTGGAGAAGCTCAAAAATGGTTCTTCCTCCTTTAATGGCTACTAGGGTTCTGATTCTCACCATGATTGTAGGGCTGTTCATTTTTAAGGCAGAGTGATTGAGGGGAACGGGAATAGGGCAAGTTAAAAACAACACAAAGCTTACTCTTCTTACTAATATTCTTCCATTTTTCTTGAATAAATGCTCCTTGCATTTTTGCAAGGTTTTGGTTAATTTTCAGAATTATGAAAAAGTTAATTTTGACAGTTTTTGCCAGTGTTCTCATTGCTTTTATGGAGGAGTGGATTTTTGGAGGTCCTTCATCTGCCATTCCTGCTGATGTCATTTTGATTGGGTTTAAAGTACATTCCATCTTCCCCTGGAAATTGTAGTTTGAGGGAGGGGCTCCAGAACAGAAAAATTAATTATTTAAGAATAAGTGAGAGCCTGGGCCGGCCCCGTGGCTTAGCGGTTAAGTGCATGCGCTCCACTGCTGGCGGCCTGGGTTCGGATCCCGGGCGCGCACTGACGCACTGTTTCTCCGGCCATACTGAGGCCGCATCCCACATACAGCAACTAGAAGGATGTGCAGCTATGACATACAACTGTCTACTGGCGCTTTGGGGGGAAAAAATAAATAAATAAAATCTTTAAAAAAAAAAAAAAAAAAAGAATAAGTGAGAGCCTATTGTATGTTGGGTTCCTGTTCACATTGAGTGTACATTCTAATGGTGAAATGAAGATAGATAACAAACAATTAATAGACATGAATTTACAATTTTATGAATGATTTGAAGAATATAAAATGAAGAGATGAGATCTAGAGTGCTTCAGGAAGGAGCTACTTTGGATGCAGTGGTCCAGGAAGACCTGTTTGAGGAGGGGATCCCAGCTGAATGATTCAAGAAGAACCTCTCTTAAAAGGCCTTCTCCTGGGCCGGCCCCATGGCTTGGTGGTTGGGTGCGCGCGCTCCGCTGCTGGCGGCCCAGGTTCAGATCCTGGGCACGCACTGACGCACCGCTTCTTCGGCCATGCTGAGGCCGCGTCCCACATGCAGCAACTAGAAGGATGTGCAACTATGACATACAACTATCTACTGGGGCTTTGGGGAAAGAGAAATGAATAAATAAAATTATAAAAAAAAAAGCCTTCTTCTACAATCAACATAATAAAAAGACAACCTATGGAATTATTTGCAGATATGATTTGCAAACCATATCTCTGATAAAAGGTTAATATCCAAAATCTATAAAGAACTCATACAACTCAATAGTAAAAAAACCAAATAATCCAATTTAAAAATGGACAAAGGACCTGAATAGACATTTTTCCAAAGAAGATATACAAATGGTCCACAGGTACATGAAAAAGTGTTCAACATCACTAATCATAAGGGAAATGCAAATCAAAACCACAGTGAGATATCACCTCACGCCTGTTAGAATGGTTATCATCAAAAAGACAAGAGATCGGGCCCGCCCGGTGGTACAAGTGGTTTAGTGCGTGCGCTCCGCTGTGGCAGCCTGGGGTTCGCCGGTTCAGATCCCGGACGTGCACTGACGCACCGCTTGTCAAGCCATGCTGTGGTGGCATCCCATATAAAGTGGAGGAAGATGGGCATGGATGTTAGCCCAGGGCCAATCTTCCTCAGCAAAAAGAGGAGGATTGGCAGATGTTAGCTCAGGGCCGATCTTCCTCAAAAAAATAAATAAATAAAAGCACCAACTTAAAAAAAAAAAAAAAAAGACAAGAGATAACAAATGCTGGAAAGGATGTGGAGAAAAGGGAACTCTTGTGCACTGTTGGTGGGAATGTAAATTGGTACAGCCACTAAGGAATTCTACTTCTGGGAATATATCCAAAGGAAACAAAAACACTATGTCAAAGAGATATCTGCACCCCCATGTTCATAGCAGCATTATTTACGATAGCCAAGACATGGAAGCAACCTAAGTATACATCGATGGGTGAATGGATAAAGAAGTTGTGGTATATACATGCAGTGGAATATTGTTAGGCCATAAAAAAGAAGGAAATCCTGCCATTTGTGACAACATGGCTGGACCTTGAGAGCATTATGCCAAATGAAATGTCAGACCAAGAAAGACAAATAATGTATGGTCTCACTTATATGTGAGATCTAAAAAACAAACAAACAAAAAAACCAGCCCAACTCATAGAAAAAGAGATCAGGTTTGTGGTTACCAGTGGTGGGGCAGAGGGGAGAGTTGAATGAAGATAGTCAAAAGGTACAAAGTTCCAGTTATAAGATAAGTACTAGGGATGCAATGATGACTATAGTTAACACTGCTGTGTGGTATATCTGAAAGTTAAGAGGATAGATCCTAAGAGTTCTCATCACAGGAAAAAAACTTTTCTCTTTCTTTTGGTATCTATATGAGATGATGGATGCTAACTAAACTTATTGTGGTAATTATTTCTCAGTATATGTAAGTTAAATCATTATGCTGTACACCTTAAAATTATACAGTGTTGTATGTTAATTATATCTCAATAAAACTAGAAGAAAAAGGCATTCCCCAACACTGTGTCTGAACTTCGTGTTGATGTTTGGATATGTCCAATTAATTGGACAACTTTAATCAAAAGATTTGATAAACAGGATGCTTCTGAAGTTGCAGGTAATGTTGGAACAAGTTACAATCCAGTGACTTGGGATCAGTGGAGGTTTCTACTTTGCCCATTAGTTTCATCTCCTTTTTTCCCCTTAAACAATTTCACTATCATATTCAATCTCTGTCCACCTATTTTATTTCCACAGATATTTTCAGGTCTCCATATCTGAGAGAAAGACATACTCACACTGAATGAACAGTGCCATCAAATCTAGAAAAATTTCTCTTTAAAATTGTAGGATCTCTGTTGCATGGGACCTCAAGAAGATAATTGAGTCATATGATTCCTAATTCTGGTTTTGTGTCAGAGTCCCTGAGTTTGGGAGACTTTTTATTATTAATGCATGTTGCCTGGGGTTCATTTCAGAACTTCTGAAAGAATCTCATTCTATTCTATTCATTCTTTTTATGCTGTTTCCTAAGAAGTGAGTAGAAATTGGAGCAAATGACTATAACTTTTATCATTGATTGTGTTGAGTAAACATCCTTCATCCAAAGTGATGTCATTAGTCTGCAGCTTATAATCTGGGGAAAGTGAAAAAAGCATTAAAGCTGTTAAGAAAGAAACACATTTGTTAACACATGCATGTGTTTCTTCGTTCTTTCTCAGTTTAATGTTTGCATGTGTATATATGTGTTTCCCTAGGACCATAACCAAATGTTTTATGTAAGAATCTATGCAATTTATTCTTTTTTTTGTGAGGAAGATCGGCCCTGCGCTAACATCCATGCTAATCCTCCTCTTTTTGCTGAGGAAGACCGGCTCTGAGCTAACATCTATTGCCAATCCTCCCCCTTTTTTCTCCCCAAAGCCCCAGTAGATAGTTGTATGTCATAGCTGTACATCCTTCTAGTTGCTGTTTGTGGGACGCGGCCTCAGCATGGCGGGAGAAGCGGTGTGTCGGTGCGCGCCTGGGATCCGAACCCGAGCCACCAGTAGCGGAGCGCGCGCACTTAACCGCTAAGCCATGGGGCCGGCCCCAATTTATTCTAATAGAATCCTTACCATAGAGTTGTCTGAAACTCTCTAAGCCTCAGTTTCCTTGTCTATAAAATGAATTGTACTTCTTAAGTTTGTTGTGAAACTGAAATAAGTTAGTGCTTGTAAAGTATTTAGAAACCTTACTGTGGCCAGGCATTACTCCAAGTATTGTGCTCAGTGAGTTTTCTTTGAGGGAAATTCTGAATCTCTTTTATGATATGGTTGAAATGTTCTCAAACTAGATCCTGATGTATCAAAAGCCGTGTCACTCACATGACATATTCAACTCAATAATGACCAAAGCCCTCAAGTTGTAAATATTGCTGCTCTTGAGGCACCTATTCCCTAGTTTAGACTTCTGTGGTCATTTGCTCACAATCTGTATAAGATCAGAGGGAGCCCACAGCACAAGTCATATAGTTTTGGGATGAGAACATAGAATAACTGATATTTTTAAAAGATTATTATTAATCAAGAGAAATATTTGCCAGCCAGATTTTCTGCTGTGAATCATTTACTAAAGAAGCAAATCAATGAGTTTGATCCTAACTGTTGGTTTCCTCCAGCACCAGTATTCTCCTCTAAAGGGGATATACCTGAAGAAGCAACCATGTGTTTCAGTTGATTTTCTGGGATTCGAAAAGTTCTGTAAGTCTTCTTGGTAAATTCAGGAGTTTTCCTGCAAGAGAAATATCTGCTTAGAGAAATCAAATTTGGGAAAATTAAGAGAAAAACTACCACATTGGTAACTACACCCATAATCCATCAGAAGGAATGCTAAACAATTATTCTATGAATTAAGCAGACTAAAGACGTTCTAATTTTATTGAAGAAGAAAAAAAGTGGACATGGGCAGAGGAGATCTAAGGATGTGGATGCCTATGTGAGTCTTAGGACCCCAGGAGAGCGATGGGGCATAAAAGGTGGAGGGTAGAGGCAGTGGAGTTGACATAAAGCAAAGTCTGGTCAGAGGCAAATGGGGTGCTATAGGAGGCATAGAAAGTGGTGTTAAAGAACAGTGTCTAGGGGCCAGCTGGGTGGTGCAGCAGTTAAGTTCGTGTGCTCCACTTCTGCGGCCCGGGGTTCACCAGTTCAGATCCTGGGCACAGACCTACTCACCGCTCATCAAGCCATGCTGAGGTGGCATCGCACATAGAAGACCTATAAGGACCTACAATTAGGATATACAACTATGTACTGGGGGTATGGGGAGAAAAAAGAAAACAAAAGAGGAAGATTGGCAACAGATGTTAGCACAGGGCCACTCTTCCTCAAAAAAAAAGAACAGTGTCTGGAGGCTGACTCAACAGGTTCAAGACAGCCCTGCCAGTTCCTAGCTCTGTGGCCTTGGGCAAGTCACACCCCTCTCTGGACATCTGCATCTTTGAATATGAGATGTAGCTAATAGCAACACCTTCCTCATGATGGGGGCTGTGAGGAACACAGGCGAGGAGGTATAAGCAAAGCATGTAACAGCAAAAGACACATGGTTGGCAATCAATCAGTGGTAATTGTTAGTCCTCCTGTTATAGATATTGTTATTTTCCTTGTGATCTTGTCAAAATCAGTTTCTATTCTGCTTTGGTAAAGGGCTGTGGGGAGGGGCCACTATTCATTCATTCACTCATTCATTCATTTATTCATTCATTCCTTTTCTCTTCACACCATAGCCAACCTTTTTTTTTTTTTTGTGAGGAAGATCAGCCCTGAGCTAACATCCATGCTAATCCTCCTCTTTTTGCTGAGGAAGACCACTCTGAGCTAACATCTATTGCCAATCCTCCCCCTTTTTTCTCCCCAAAGCCCCAGTAGATAGTTGTATGTCATAGTTGCACATCCTTCTAGTTGCTGTATGTGGGACGCGGCCTCACCATGGCCGGACAAGTGGTGCATCAGTGCGCGCCCGGGATCCGAACCCAGGCCACCAGAAGCAGAGCGTGTGCACTTAACCACTAAGCCATGGGGCCAGCCCCCATAGCCAACCATTTTAATTTCATTGTGTGTCTTTTTAATTTTTTTTCTTTGCTCTCTTTTTTTTTTTTTTTGAGGAAGATTGGCCCTGCGCTAACATCTGTTGCCAGTCTTCCTCTTTTTCTTTTCTCTCCCCAAAGCCCCAGTACATAGTTGTATATCCCAGTCATAGAGTTGTAGCTCTTCTATGTGGAACGCCACCTCAGCATGGCTTGTTGAGTGGTGAGTAGGTCCATGCCCGGGATCTGAACCAGTGAAACCTGGGCTGCCGAAGCGGGATGCACGAACTTAACCACTGCACCACTGGGCCAGCCCCTCCTTGTGTATCTTTTTGTTTATATGTGTTTGCGCAAAATATATATTGTTTGTGTTTATTTTTTGTTTATATAATGGTATTGTGTTACTTGTATAATTCTGTCCCTTGCTTTTTCTGTCAGTGCGGTGTTTTAAGATCTACCCATATTGCTAAGTGTACATCTGATTTATTCTGAAAGCTGCATGGAACTCCATGAAGACACCTTCCACAGTTTACCTATTGATTTCTTGACTAGTCTCACCCAAGCTGACCCCCCACCTGCCACCTGCCTGCCATGAATAACACTGCAATAAACATGTCTGTCACTTTACAAAGCTATGAGAGAATTTCTTTGTGATTTCCTAGGTTTGGAAATGCTGGACCATGAGACATGTATATATTTAATTTCTTACTTTGCCTACGAAGTGGTAGATTCTATTCAGAGTGGCTGTCACAGTCTCTGCTGCCACCACAGATCATAAAAGTGCAGATTTCTCCACCTCATCACAAGCATTGGATGTTACCCAGCCTTCTGATTTTTGCTAGTATAACAGGTGCAAATTGGTATCTCATTGTTTCAATTTGAATTTGTCTGATTATTTATGAGCTTTTGAACATCCTTCTTATGCTAATTAGTCTTTTATGTTTCCTCTATAAAACCATAGCTTCTGCCTATTTATCTGTTGGTTTGCTGTATATTTTCTTGTTGCTTTTTTGCATATGCTTTCTACATATTAGCTTATTGTTGTTTCTAGGAATGGCAAATATCTCCTGCAGTTCTGTCAGCTGTCTACTAACTTATCCATAGTGTCCTTCATTTATCAGAGATCTTCGATCCAATTGGAATATTTATTGGGAATGAAATGAATTTTTAGAATAGTTTAGGGAAAACTAGCATAGTCATAATACTTAAGTTATAATTTAGGAGCATGGACTGTCTCTGCATTTATTCACATAATCTTATATATCCTTTGGTTGAAAATTTTCTTTTTGAAAGTCTTGAGTATTCTTATTCTTAGATAGGTTAATTTCTAAATACTTCATAATTTTTGTTTCGATTGTGAGTGATGTATTATTTTTTATTTTATTTTACAATTGGGTGTTACTGCTGGAAAGAAATGTTATTGATTTTGTAGGTTGATCATGCAACCAGCAGAATTTCAGAGCCATGAATAGGGTTAATAGTTTGTGATTCAGCCCACCCTGGGATTGATGATTATAGTATCTTCATTTCCGTCTTAGGCAGACTAAAGTGCCATTTAGTAAATAGACAAAAATGGAAAGACATGAATAAAATTAAAAGTTCATTATTTGCTCATGTAGTGGTTCCTGGGGCAGATGCTTTGCATTGGAGGGCAGCTGTGTTCCAACTTGTGGTTCAGGGACAGGCTTTGGGATGGTAAATTTTATGTGTCAACTTGGCTGGGCCATGGTGCCCAGCTATTTGGTCAAACATTATTCTGAATATTTCTGTGAAGGTGTTTTTGGATGAGATTAACATTTAAATCAGTGGACTTTGAGTAAAGTAGATTGCCCTCCATAATGTGGGTGGGCCTCATCCAATCAGTTGAAGGCCTGACTAGAACAAAAGACTGATCTCCTCGAGCAAAAAGAAATTCTGCCAGCAGATGGCCTTCAGGCACCATTCTATGGATATCCTTAAGTTTAAAAGCATCTCTTTGAAGTTACAGGTTTGAAATGGACATAAGACCAGAGGTTTATTTAACAAAGGCTGTGGTCCAGATATAAAAGGAGGGGATTCAGCAAGATTTTCTGTAAATTAGCCCAGGTCAAAAGAATTTGACAGAGGTAGAGATCATGTGAAGTCTCTTTACAGTTACCCCAAATCATGAAAGTGCCTAAAAGTCTTTATGATTTTTCTTTAGTGGAACTAGAGAACATTCAGTTTACAGACCTTCGCCAAGTTAATATGTACAGTGGTGTGTAAATCAGATGATCCTTGTGAACTTGTCATTGAGATTGTGTCAGAAGAGATTGTCATAAAATTATTACAAAATTATGTAATTGTCTTTTTACCTGCTTTACCTTCCACCTCCTTTCTTTTCTCTTCCGAGATAATTTGTCCCAGTCCCATAATGCTATAATGATCTCTATGGCATCAGCTGAGTTCTTGCTTTGGCCCTATGACTCTAAAGTCAAAGACACAATATCTAGACCAGGACTAGGCAAGGCCTGGTCCACTCACTCTCAGAATAACCTTTCATATACCAATTAGTGTCTTTTGTCAATATCCCAGAAATTGGGCATGGCAGGGAAAAGAAAGGGTGGAATAGGTGTTCTTTACTGCTGAATTATCAGGCCAAAATACATCTCTTTCCCCAGAAGATGTTATTTTTGAGATGTCTGTGAAAATTTTAACATGAAGTATGTATTAGAATATGACAAGGAACTGATTAGGTGTAATAACAGCACTATGGGTGCGTAAGGAAATGTCCACACTTTGAGATGCACTCCGAGGTATGCACGGGTGAAGTGATGTGATGCCTGAGACTTGTGATGATATACTTCAGCAAAGAAAAAGAAATAGAAGAATAGGGAAAGACAGTGTGGCAAACACTTTGTACTTTGTTGAATCTATATTATAGGCATATGAGGTTTATTATTTTATTGTCTCTAATCTATGTATGTTTGAAATTTTTCATAATAAAGTGTTTAAAACCGTCTACAACAGTCAGCTCTTAACTATATCTAGTTTAATCCTAAAAATGAAAAATAAAAGTGGCTTTACTTACACATGGTCCATCATACAGTTTAGTTATTTTAAGCCCTTCATGTCTGAAAGAAATTAAATTTTTAAATGATTATTTTTACTCTATGGTATATCATAAATTATGACTAAATTTTACTTGGTAATCTTTAGCTAAGTTTGAGGAGTAAACATTCTGCTAATAGTGAATTCTGATTTAACAAATATTTAAAAATATCTACTATATAGATCTTTATTTGTCAAAGAAGTTAAAGGTATAAAACATACTCAGCCTTAAATCAAATATGTAAAATTCAAAATAATCTTGAATATTTGAGTAGAAATACAAAGTGTTAGAAAGAGAATGTGCAATAAAGTTAAAGTATGCATTTGATGAAAGTTAAAGTTTCATTACTACCAACCTTACAGAAATAAAAATGATTATAAGGGAATACTATGAACAATTGCATGGCAAGTTAGATAACCCAGATGAAATGGATAAATTCCTAGAAACACAAATTACCTAAACTGATTCAAGAAGAAATAGAAAATCTCAACAGACCTATATCAAATAAAGAGATTGAATCAGTAATAAAAACCTCCTAACAAAGAAAAGATCAGGACCAGATGGCTTTATTAGTGAATTCTACCAAACGTTTAAGGAAGATTTAATATCAATCCTTTTCAAACTCTTCCAAAAAATAGAAGAGGAAGAAACACTTCCCAATCATTCTATGAAGCCAGAATTACCATGACAGCAAAGACAGACAAATACATCACACACAAATAAGAAAACTACAGAACAATATCCCTTATGAATATAGTTGTAAAAATTTTCAACTAGATACTAGCAAACTGAATCCAACAGCTTATTGAAAGGATTATACACCATGACCAAGTGGGATTTATCCCAAGAATGCAGGATGGTTCAACCTAAAAGTATCAACCAATGTAATAACATCACATTAATAGAATGAAGGGAAAAAAACACATGTTCATCTCAATTGATGTAAAAATGAAACACCACAATATTCTACAAAATCCAGCACTCTTTTATAACAAAAACACTCAGAAAAACAGGAATATAAAAGAACTTCCTCAACATGATAGAAAAGGAAAAAAGGAGTAAGATTGGCAATAGATGTTACCTCAGGGCCAATCTTCCTCAAAAAAAAAAAATTAAAAAACAAGAAAAGTAAAAGACAACCTACAGAATGGGAGACTATGTTTGCAAATCATAGTATCTAGTATCCAGAATATATAAAGAACACTTACAACTCAAAAATAAAAAGACAAACAATGCAATAAAAAAAATGGGCAAAGGACTTGAATAGACATTTCTCTAGAGAAGTTATACAGATGGCCAACAAGTACATGAAAAAATGCTCAACATCGTTAGTCACTAGGGAAATGCAAATGAAAACCATAATGAGATATCATTTCACACCCTCAAAGATGAATATAAAAAAATGTTGGTGAGGATGTGGATAAATTGGAACCCTCAATGTTGCTGGCAGGAATGTAAAATGGTACAGTCTCTGTGCAAAACAGTTTGGTGGTTCCTCAAAAAGCTACTCGTATAATTACTATATGATCCAGCAAATTCCACTCCTAGGTATATACCCAAAAACATTGAAAACAGGTACTCAAATAAATACTTGTACATAAATGTTCATAGCAGCATTATTCACAATAGCTAAAATGTAGAAACAACCCAAATGCCCATCAATGGATAAATGGAAAACAAATTGTGGTGTGTACATATAATGGAATATTATTCAGCAATAAAAAAGAAATTAAGTGTAGATACATGCTACAACATGGATGAACCTCAAAAACATTATACAAAGTGAAAGAAGACAGACACAAAAAGTCACATACTGTATGATTCCATTTATATGAAATGTCCAGAATAGTAAATCCATAGAAACAAAAAGCAGTGTGTTGGTTTCCAGGGACTGTGGGGAGAAGGCAATGGGAAGAAACAGCTTAATGAATATGGGGTTTTATTCTGGAGTGATGAAAATGTTTGGAATTAGACAGAGGTGGTAGTTTTATAACATTGTAAATGTACTAAGCACTACTGATTTGTTCACTTTTTTTTTTTTTTGAGGAAGATCGGCCCTGAGCTAACATCTGCCAATCCTCCTCTGTTTTTGCTGAGGAAGACTGGCCCTGGGCTAACATCCATGCCCATCTTCCTCCACTTTACATGGGACACTGCCACAGCATGGCTTGACAAGTGGTGCATCAGTGCGCACCCAGGATCCAAACCAGCGAACCCTGGGCCACTGCAGCAGAGCGCACGCACTTAACCGCTTGGGCCACCAGGCCGGCCCCTGATTTTTTCACTTTAAAATGATTGATTTTAGGGCCGGCCCTGTGGCTTAGCGGTTAAGTGCATGCGCTCCGCTGCTGGTGGCCCGGGTTCGGATCCCAGGCGCACACCGACGTACCGCTTCTCCGGCCATGCTGAGGCCGCATCCCACATACAGCAACTAGAAGGATGTGCGACTATGACATACAACTATCTACTGGGACTTTGGGGGAAAAACTAAATAAATAAATAAAATTATAAAAAAAAATGATTGATTTTATGTCATGTGAATTTCACCTCAATTAAAAATATATGCATTTGAGCCCATTCATAGCTATGAGACCTTTGTCAAGTTGCTCTCCTCTGGTTCTCAGTATCTTCATTCAAAAGTGAGCTCTTGGCAGCGACATCAGTGAAAATAGAGAAGTAAGAACCTCTGAAAACTCTCTCCTCCATAGAAGAAATAAGAACATTGGCAAAAATGGTTAGAATCAACTTTTTCATAACTCTAGGGACTTTTTTTTTAAGAAAGGCTTGCAACAGTCCAAGGAGCATTTATTTTTGGAAAATGGCTGAATCTCAGTAAGAACAGTCAGCTTTGTAGAGTTTTAACTTGCCCTATTCCCATCCACCACCTCCCCAGATCTCTGGTAGTATTAAAAAACAACAGACCTCTATTACAGTGAAAACCAGCAGCCTGGAAGCACCTAGAGGGGACAGAATGGTGTTGGAAACCCTTCAGAGTACCACTATCAGCGAATTGTCATTCTTTGACCTCTCTGGTGTTTCTCTGGAAGACCCACACTCAAACCTGTCTTTATTCAACCTGACTCAGAGCTCCCCCAGCACAAACAGAGTTTTCCCTTTGGGCATTTGTTGAAAACAATCAGAGGCAATTGTTGAATATCATGGCTGTCAAATGGTAGATAACAGTTGGGGAAAACAATAGGCTAACCAAAAGCTTCAAAGTCAAAGCTGGGGAATGGGATTTCCATAGGAGGTTTTGAAAACCACCAATATATTCCTGGGAATCTATAAGGCCATGCACATGTGTAGGGTTATGTGCATGCTCAGGAAAGACCTGAGAAAGCCTTAAGCTCTCATCTCTAGCTAATCTTGAGGCTCTGTACAAGCAGGAAGTAAGGCTAAGGTGTAGTTTTAAACTGTCTGGCTAAGTGTTGAAGGCATTCCTCAACACACACAAATAAAGTTTTTGTTGGCAAAGACTGAGAGATTTATTTGTTTCAGACATTAAAGAAAATTTTTGTCCAATCATTAGAAGACCACTAAGATAATTGAGTAGGACCCGTTCAGTGGCCAAACATGACAAAGAATGCAGACTTCACAGAATTATTCCAGAAGTCACTAAACTAACACACAACAACAACAACAACAAACAGCAACAGCAACAAACCTTGGAGAGAAGAGAGAATCTGATTTCCAGTATTGCCACATTATATTATTTAAAATGTCCAGTTTTCAACAAAAAATTATGACACATGAAAAGAAACAAGAAAGTATGGCCCATACACAGGATAAAAAACAATCATTAGAAACAGTCATTGAGGGCCGGCCCTGTGGCTTGGTGGTTAAGTGCGCGCGCTGTAATGCTGGTGGCCCGGGTTCGGATCCCGGGTGCGCATCGAGGCACCACTTCTCTGTCCATCCTGAGGCCGAGTCCCACATACAGCAACTAGAAGGATGTGCAGCTATGACATACAACTATCTACTGGGGCTTTGGGGGGAAAAAATAAAATAAATAAAATCTTTAAAAAAAAAAAAAAGAAAAGTCATTGAGGAAGACCAGATGTTGGACTTACAAGACAACAATTTAAATCAATTATTGTAAATATGTTTTACAAAACTTAAAAAAGCCATGTCTAAAGAACTAAAGAAAAGTATGAGAATGATTTCTCACCAAATAGAGAATATTAATAAAGAGATGGAAATTATTTTTTAAAAAAGCCACATAGAAATTATGGAGTTGAAAATACAATTATCTGAAATGAAAAATTCACTGGAGAAGCTCAATACTAGATTTGAGCAGGCAGAAGAAAGAGTCAGTGATCTTGAAGATAGGTCAATTAATATTATCCAGTCTGAGGAGAACAAAGAAAAAAAATAATGAAGAAAAATGAACAGAGTAGGTCAAAATGCTTCAGATAAGAAATAAAAGAAAAACCAATTCAAATTGGGGGGGAGGGAATGAACAAATGCACAGAGAAATGCAGGATACCAACAAGTGTATCAACATATGGGAGTCCCAGAAGGAAAGGAGACAAAGAAAGGGCAGAAATAATGTTTGAAGAAATAATGGCTGAAAACTTTCCAAATTGGATGAAAAACGTTAATATATACATCCAAGAAGTTCAACAAACTTAAAACATAATCAAAGAGATCCACACATAGACGAATCATTATCAAACTGCAGAAAGTCAGACAAAGAGAGAATCTTGAAAGCAGCAAAAGAGAAATGAATCATCACATACAAGTGATCCTCAGTAAGATTAACATCTGATTTCTCATCAGAAACAGTGGAGGCCAAAGGAAGTGGGATGACATAGTTCAAGTGCTGAAAGAAAATGACTATCAACCAGGAATTCTATATCCAGCAAAACTATTCATCAAAAATAAAAATGAGATTAAGACATTCCTAAATAAACAAAAATTGAGAGAATTTGTTGCTAACCAACCTGCAAAATACTAAACAGAGTCCTTCAGGGTGAAATGAAAGGACACTAGACAGAAACTCAAATCCACATGAAGAAATAAAGACAGCTAGTAAAGGTAAATACATAGGAAAATATAAAAGATGATATAAATATATTTTTTATCTGTAAGCCTTCTACTCCTATCTGATTTAAATGCCAACTGCATAAAGCAATAATTATAAATCTATGTTGATGGGCATGCATTGCATAAATGTGTGATATGCATGATTTACAGCACAGAGAAGCGTGGATGGAATGGAGCTATAAGGGAGCAAAGTTTTTAAAATACTTTTGTAATTAATTTGCTATTAATCCAAACTAGATTATTATAAATTAAATTTTTACTTGTAATCCTCATGGTAACTGCTAAGAAAATAATTCAAAAAATATAGTCAAGTGAGTTCTTTGGAAGCTGTCTCTCAGGTGTCTCCTGGTTCTATGAGTCTATGAAGTTGTAGGTCCCCCAGCTTGTGCATTCTAATTGTCAGATATCTGCACCAGTGATTGAGGCTGACACCAAAGTTGTTTACCTCAGAACTCTTTTACAGGTTCTAGTGTAATTTTTGGTTATTTATGCAGCCAGGAATGCAAAAAAGTCCAATCCTGCCCAGCCAACATCTCTTATCCTGACCAAGATTATTGTTCCTTCTCTTAAAGAAAAACCAACAGGAAGAGGAGAAAGACATAAGTTTTATCTACTCTCATGTCTTTACTTCCTCTCTCTTAAGATATTGGACTTAATCTCTAAATCTTAGTTATCCAAGGGTGTGAATTTTCTCCTTAAAGGAGAAAGCGGATGTCAGAGAATTCTCCTCCCATCTCTGTAAGGCAGCTTCCTTAATGAAAACCTCTATTCCCCTTGGGCCAGAGAATTAGGCATTTCACATGGGTGTCACTCAAATCTTCTAACATATGATGGGCCCAAAGACTAAACCACATATCAGACTGAAAGCTAAATAGAGTTGTTTGGGAGAATAATATCCATTCAAAGATCAATAAACCATCAGCTGGAAAGATTCTTCATCCAGCCCCCTCCTCCTCTTCTTCATTAGGCTTTTGTTCTTGGCCTGAGGGGGATTGAGGATAAACCTCATCTATGGTCACAACGCTCTGAACACTGTGGCTACTTGCTACTGAGTTCACTCCACTTGATCCTCCTCCAGGCCAGACATAGCACTCTCACCTCAGTGGGTTTCTGTTTCTGTATTGTGTGAGTGGAATCACTTTTGGTAGCACAGGGGAGGAAGGAAGAAATGGAGAAGCAAATAGTGGAGGAGTCTCTTGAGGGAAGATCTAACCAGTTGGAAGCATACTGAGGAGGTCATTCCTATCTTGGCCACTTTTAGCCTCCTGTCTTGAGAGAAGGGAGAATAAAATCAAGACTTACAGAATTTTGAAGCAGAGATGGCATTCACCACTGTAGGTAACCTGGTCACTGCCACATATGCGTTCACTTGGCTTGATGTAGGAAATAAACCAGCACTGATTTATGTTCTTGATGCACTCAACCTGAAGGTGAGACACAGACTACTACTTCAGATGCCTTCCTCTAGGTCCTCTGACCATTTCATTGGTAGCAGGGGAGGGAGTTGGAACAAGGAGTACTAGACCAGGAGTTCGGAGAGCAGGCTTCAGAAGCCTCAGTGTTTGACCCCTGGCACTTACCGCCAGCAGTATGAATATAATATAATATAATATAATATAATATAATATAATATAATATAATATAATATAATATAATATGTATAGTATAATATAATATAACATATTATCTGTGAACTCCCCAGTCTGATCTATAAATTCCTTATTAGGATGAAAACTCCTGCCCTACCAACTGCAAAATGTGATTAGGCTACAAAGAGGGAAATGTCTTTCAAGGTTAGAATTTTCTTTTTTTCTTTTTTTTAAATTATTTTATTTAATGCCATGGGAGAGTGTGTGTGTTCATTCTTTTTGTGTGTGTGTGTGAGGAAGATCAGCTCTGAGCTAACATCCATGCCAATCCTCCTCTTTTTTGCTGAGGAAGACTGGCTCTGGACTAACTATTCAAAAAATTCAAAACTATTCAAAAAGCTAGGATGAGGGAGACCCTGTTTGGCACACAGGAAGCATCAAATCCCAGCAGAAGAGGCTGAGGTTCCTCTTTGATGCATGCTGACCTCTAAAGGAGTGAAGAATAGGGCTCAAACTTGTCACAGCAGAGTTAGGATATAGAAGGAAGGGGACAAAGAGAATACACTGTGGAGTCTTGGTATGTGGGAGGCAGGATGTATGTCTTGGCATATCTCAGCTGAAAGAATGTCCACTGCAGCAAAGGACAGAATGAATTTGAGCCACGACTTCATTCTCCATTTACTGGTGCAGAATACTTGCCTTCTATCCCACAAGAGAGTTGTGTGAACTGGTTGGGATAATGCATGGAAAGAGGGCTCAGGAACATACAAATTGTGCTGCACATGGTTGCTGATTCAGCTGTTATTGTATTGTTCTTCCCATGCAAGTCTCCTCTGGCCCCTGCCCCCCAGAGGAAAGAACCGGGGCTATCAGGGAAACTGGTTTCTTCCCATTGCTGTCCTTGGGAACAAAGGGAGCAGAGCTCACCTTTGTCTCTTCTAGGCCAGCCTCTTTGCCCACAGGAAGAGGGAAGTCTGGAAGACAAAAACACATTTAGAAGAGTTGCTGCTCTGTCTTCTGCCCTTGGGGAGAAAAGCTAGGATGAGGGAGACCCTGTTTGGCACACAGGAAGCATCAAATCCCAGCAGAAGAGGCTGAGGTTCCTCTTTGATGCATGCTGACCTCTAAAGGAGTGAAGAATAGGGAAACTTCTGCCCCTCTCTCTCATGTAAAATGGAGATCTTAATTCCTGCCCTTCCACTTCACAAGTAAATAACAACATCTATAATCCTTCTCGACTGTTTTTAGAAAATACCCTCTAAATCACAAATTACCGTAAAATAGTTGTATTGAGATACCTTAAAGATGCTGAGTTTTATTAACGCACATATTCTTGATCCAAAGCAGTCTTGTCAATTATTCATATATATATAATATTTCATGATATATAATTATATAATATGTTAATTATATGTTATAACTATCTGATATAATTATTATAACTATATAATATGTATAACATATTATCAGCTCTCTCTATGTTATATATATCTGCTTTATTAAGATATAATTCACACACAACATATAGAATTCACTCTTTAAAGTGTACAGGTCAGTGGTTTTTAGTATATTCTCAGAGTTGTGCAACCATCACCACAATCAGTTTTAGAACATTTTCTTTTTTTTTTTTTTTTTGTGAGGAAGATCAGCCCTGAGCTAACATCCATGCTAATCCTCCTTTTTGCTGAGGAAGACTGGCTCTCAGCTAACATCTATTGCCACTCCTCCTCCTTTTCTTTTTTTTCCCCAAAGCCCCAGTAGATAGTTGTATGTCATAGTTGCACATCCTTCTAGTTGCTGTATGTGGGACGTGCCCTCAGCATGGCTGGAGAAGCAGTGCGTCGGTCCACTCCCAGGATCCGAACCCGGGCCACCAGTAGCGGAGTGCACCACTTAACCGCTAAGCCACGGGGCCAGCCCAGAACATTTTCATCACCCCAAAAAGAAACCCTGTACCCATCAGCAGTCACTTATTCCTCCCTCAACACCCTTTCCATCCCACCCTAGACAACCACTAATTTACTTTCTGTCCTTTTTGGACTCTTCATTTAAATGGAATCATACAATATGTAGTCTTTGGTGTCTATCTTCTTTCACTTAGCATAATGTTTTAAAGGGTTATCCATGTTATAGCATGCATCAGTACTTCATTCCTTTTTATAACTAAATAATATTCCATTGCATACATATACCATATTTGATTTATCCATTAATCAGTTAATGGACGAGTTGTTTTCACTTTTTGGCTATTAAGAGCAAGGCTCCTATGAACATTCATGTACACGTTTTTGTGTGGCCAAGTATGTTCAATTCTCTTGGATATGTACCTAAGAGTGGAATTTCTGGGTCATATGGTGACCTTTTGAGGTACTACTAGACTATTTTCTTTTTTTTTTTTTTTGTGAGGAAGATTGGCCCTGAGCTAATATCTGCCAATCCTCCTCTTTTTGCTGAGGAAGACTGGCCCTGGGCTAACATCCGTGCCATCTTCCTCTACTTTATATGGGACGCCGCCACAGCATGGTTTGACAAAATGTGCGTCGGTGCGCACCCGGGATCCAAGCTGGCGAACCCGGGGCCGCCGCAGTGGAGCACGTGCACTTAACCGCTTGCGCCACCAGGCCGACCCCAACTACTAGACTATTTTCTAAAACAGCTGCACCATTTTACATTCCCACCAGCAGTGTATAAGGGTTCCAATTTCTTCTCATCTTTGCTAACATTTGTTATTATCTCTCTTTTTGATAATAGACATCCTGGTAGATTTGACGTGGTATCTCCTGGTGGTTTTGATTTATATTTCCCCACTGACTAATGATGTTGAGCATCTTTTCATGTGCTTATTGGCGGTTCGTATATCTTCTTTGGAGAGATGTCTATTCAGATACTTTGCCTCTTTAAATAAATTAGCTTATTTGTATTTTTATTATTGAGTTTTAATAGTTCTTTACATATTTCTGGATACTAGTTCATTATCAAATATATACCTTACCAATAATTTCTCCCATTCTCTGGGTAATCTTTTCACTTTATTGATATCTTTGTTGGTATCGTTTGAGTCACTAAAGTTTTTAATTGAGATGAAGTCCAATTGATCTATTTTTTCTTTCATTCCTTCTACCTTTGGTGTCATATTTAAGAAGGCTTTGCCTAACCTAAGGTCACAAAAAATCACTCATATTTCCTTCTAATAGTATTATAATTTTAGCTCTTACATTCAGTTTTCTGATCCATTTTGAGTTCGTTCTGGTCTATGACATGAAAGGGATCCAAGTTCATTCTGTTGCATGTGGATATCCATGTGTCCCAGCAGCATTTGTTGAAAAGACAATTCTGGGGCTGGCTTTGTGTCGTAGTGGTTAAATTCGTCATGCTCCACTTTGGCGGCCAGCATTCAGATCCCGGGTGTAGACCTACGCCACTCATCAGCCTACACATACAAAATAGAGGAAGATTGGCATAAATGTTAGCCCAGGGCTAATCTTCCTCTAGCAAAAAAAGGAAGATTGGCAACAAATATTAGCTCAGGGTGAATCTTCCTCACAGAAAAAAGAAACGAAAAGAAAATTCTATGTTGAATTGTTTCGGAACTTAGTTAAAATCAATTTGCCTTAAATGTGCGGGGTGTTTTCCTGGATTCTCAGTGCTATTCCATTGATCTGTATTTCTATCCTTATGCTAATACCAGACTGTCTTGATGTCTAACTTTGTAGTAAGTTTTGAAATTGGAAAGTGTGAGCACTTTCCACATTTTTGTTCTTCTTTTTCAAAATTGTTTTGGCTAGTCTCAGTCTTTTGTATTTCTATACGAATTTTAGAATCTGCTTTCCCATTTCTGCAAAAAAAAAAAAAAACCATATCTACTGCAGACAGCATATAGTTGGATCTTGCTTTTTTAATCCAGTCTGACAATTTCTACCTTTTGATTGGATTGTGAAATTCATTCACATTTGATGTTTTATTGATTTAGTTGGATTTACATCTGCCATTTTACTTTTTGTTTTCTGTATGACTCATGTCTTTTTTGCTCCCCTATTCCTCCTTTACCATTCTCTGTTGCATTAAGTGAATATATTCTTGTGTAACATTTTCTTTAATGATTTTTTTCACTATCTTTTCTGAATTTTTTTTTTAGTAGTTGTGCTATGGCTTACTGTATATATCTTAACTTATCAGAATGTATTTCAGATTTATACTATTTTAATTCAAGTGACATATAGAAATGTTACTCCTATATAGCTCTATTCCTTCTTCTCTCCTTTTGTGCTCTTGTTGTTACACATATTACATCTATATTTGTTACAACCCAACAATACATTGCTATAATTATTATTTTATATAATTTTATGTATTTTAAAGAAGCTTAGAGAAGGAAGGACAGCAAGTATGTATTTAGAGTTTGTTATTAACCTTTTATTCCCCATTTCTGGTTCTCTTAATTGTTCCTATGGATTTAAGTTGCCACCTGCTGTCATTTCCTTACACCAATACAACTTTGCTCCCACTCACCTCCTTTGTAGTGTTGTTGTCAAATATATTACATTTCTATATGTTATAGGCCCAAGAATACAATTATATACATATTTTTTATACAATGCTTTTTAACTCAGTTAGAAGAAAGGAGAATAAATATGCATTTATACTATCTTTTATAATTACATAACTACATTTACCATGATCTCTATTGTTTCATATGGATTTGAATTACTATCTGGTGTCGCTTTCAGCCTGAAGAACTTTTTGTAAGGTGACATTTCTTGTAAGGTGAGTCTGCTACCAACAAATTCTCTCAGTTTTTTATATCTGGGAATGTCTTAATTTCACCTTTATTTTTGAAAGATAGCTTTGCTGCATATAAAATTCTTGGTTGGCAGGTTTAGTTTCTTTTAGCACTTTGAATATGTCCTCCCACTGCCTTTTGGCCTCCATGGTTTCTGATGAGAAATTAGCTGTTAATCCTACTGAGAATCACTTATATGTGATGATTCGTTTTTCTCTTGCTGCTTTCAAGATTTTCTCTTTTCTTTGTCTTTAGGTAGTTTGATAATGATATGTCTATGTGTGAATCTCTTTGAGTTTGTCCTGCTTGAAGTTTGTTGAACTTCTTGGATATGAAGATTGTTTTTCATCAGATTTGGAATTTTTCAGCCACTATTTCTTCAAGTATTTTCTTTCTCTCCTTTCTCTTTTTTCCTCTTCTTCTGGTCCTTTCATTATGTGATGTCCATGCTCTTAATGATGTACCACATTTGTATGAGACATTGTATCTTTTTTTTTGAGGGATCAGAATTGGCCACCTCAAAATATGTCTCTTTGCCTCGATTATTTTCAAGAACAAAAGACTCTGAAAGAAATTTTGACCTCCCCCCCACTAACTGCCTAAAAGAAATGTAAGATAGAAAGCCTGTCCCCAGGACAGGCCATCACCATAGATAACTCTGGGTATCAATAGACTGGGAGGGTCCTTGCTAAGCCCATTCTTATCAAAGTTCTGTTTACCAAACATTTGCTTTTCCATTTCCATGTAAATTGCCTTCCTCCCCTTTGAAGTCCCAAACCACAACCCCCAACATCCTCCTTTGTCTTTAGCTGAAGATAGTATTTAAGAAGAAAGTCTCTTTGGTGAGTTGCTCAGTTTTCATGAGTCTCCCCTATGTATCCATGTTATAAATCTTTGTTTGATTTTCTCCTGTTATTCTGTCTCATGTTGTTTTAACTCCTAGCCCAGCCAGAAGGACCCAGAGTAGGAAGAGGATATACCTTTCTCCCCTACATTTTCATTAATTTTTTCTCTCTTTTATTTGGATTGTATGATCTCAATTGCTATATCTTTAAGTTTGCTGAATCTTTCTTCTGTCAGTTCAAATCTCCTATTGTACCTTCTAACGAATTTTTCATTTCAATTATTGTACTTTTTAACTTCAAATTTTCCATTTGTTTTTTTAAAACAATTTGTGCCTCTTTATTGATATCCTCTATTTGATGAGACATTATCATCATGTCTACCTTTACTTCTTTAAACATAGCATCCTTTAGTTCTTTAAATTTATTTATAATAGCTGCTTTAATGTTTTTGTCAGCTAAATCTGATATCTGAGCCCTCTCACAGGCAGTTTCTGTTACCTGCTTTGCTATCTATTGGTCACATTTTTCTCTTTCTTTGCATGTCTTAAAATTTTTTGTTAAAAACTGGACATGTAGATAGTATATTGTAGCACTCTGGACACTGACTTCTCCCCACTCCTACTCAGGGCTTGTTGTTTGCTTGTTTATTTGTTTAATGCCTTGGCTGAACTATTTTAGTGAAATCTATTTTTCCTGCAGTGTGAAGCCTCTGATGTCTCTTTTTAGAGGATATAGCTTTGGACATGTGCCCTGTCACCCTAGGATGGCAGTGGTCTTAGCAGGGCTTGCTTTTATTCTCTCTTTCCTTGATCTCTCTATCAAGCTATCTACCTCTGTTGGTATTATACCAGTTAAGCTCTGCTAATTTCCAGATGATTGCTCTATTGTTTTCAACAATGCTGAGTTATAAATTGCTCCACAGTCTGATCCAATTAAATTTGGACCTCTTTGCTGGGTAGTTTTTGAGGCCAGCCTTTGAGGTTTGTTCTGACCTCTAGGGGGCTCTTTTTAGCAGTGTTTTTCCCTGGTTCTTTCTGGTAAACTAGCTGGCCTATCATTTAGCTTGTTCTCATGGAGCTACCTGCTTCCTCTTAATTGCTGACCAAGAAAATCTCCATTGTTTTTGAGAGCACCCTTAGACTTGAACTTCACCACATTCTGTTCCAAATAAAATCAGTTTCTTTGGGGAAACTTTCAGAGCTCTCCTTTCTTTTTTTTTTTTTTTTTTTTTTTTGGTGAGGAAGATTAGCCTTGAGCTAACGTCTGCTGCCAGTCTTCCTCTTTTTGCTGAGGAAGATTGACCCTGAGCTAACATCCATGCCCATCTTCCTCCATTTTATACCTGGGACACCTGCCATAGCATGGCTTGGTCAGTGGTGTGTAGGTCCACACCCAGGATCGGAACCTGTGAACCCTGGGCTGCTGGAGTGGAGCACGTGAACTTAACCACTATGCCACTGGGCCGGCCCCTGGAGCTCTCCTTTCTTATGGCCTGCCTCTCTTCATTGACAAAATATCTATGCCACTGCTCTAGACAATGGCCTGCTTCTCTCAGAGTGACATCTTGCTTTATAAGCAGAGCACTGAGAAGGGATGGTAGACTCTGATCTTCTCGGCTGGTTTCTCCCAGCATAGAACCTCCAATCTACAAGCAACCTGGGGTGAGGGCAATTGGGGCCCCACTATTCTCAGCCTGTCTCACCTGAGGTAGAGCTTCTGCCCCACAAGTCGGAGCTGGGTAGAAAAGGAGCCCCCTACCTCTTGGCCTCACTCTCCTGGAGTTTAACCTCAGCAACACAGAGCTGGGGGAGGGGAATGAGAAATGTTGATGACCTACAGCTCCCAAAGAGATACCATTGCCCTTGACTGTGAGCTAGAGAGAGAGAGAGCCCCATCTTCTTGGCCAGGCTTGCCCAGAATGGAGCTTCCATCATGCTGAGCTAGGCAAGGGAGGGAAGAGGCAGGACATGGCTTAAGTTCCACAGACTCTTGCTGTTCTTACCTTTCAAAACACTTAGCAAAATGCGTGTTAGCACTTGATGTGGACCATGATGTCTGCCTCTCCAATTACTGGTCTGTCACATTGTGAGGCCAAAGGCCATTCCTGCCACATAACCAATGTCTAACCCGGTTTCCAACACAAGGTTAGCACAAGGTATGTATTTATTGGACATGTAAATAAGTGACTACTGGGAAACCCTGCATGGTAGTAAGGAAATTATCACAAAGTCTTCTGTGTTTAGTACAGCAGAGCTAAGATAAGATTTGCACTAAAAAAGACAACTGTTACAGCAGTATGGGTGATGGGTTAGAGGGAGTCAAGCTGGAGGCAAAGGGAATAGTAAAGAAGAATATATAAAATTTTTTCAGGGAACAATGATGAGAACCTTCATTGAGGAATTGTCATTGTTGTAAGCAGGGCAGGAATTTATGTGATATATGAAGTGTTTTATCAACTGTGGGGGATCAGAATTGGCCACCCCAAAATGTGTCTCTTTGGCATGAAGATTATTTTGGGCTGGTTACTTTTAAGAAACTGCAGACAGGGGAGAAGCTCTGAAAAGTAGAAGTTACCCTTTGTAAGAGACATTTACATTTGTAAGGGAAATCTCCATTTGTAAAGGTGTCTCCCTCTCTGTACCAAGAAGAAGGGGGGATGACCTTATTTCTAGAAACTCTTATCAATGCAGAAAGCAAGGACTTAAATCTGCATAATAACCTTAATCTTATTTACTGTCCTTTTCTGGTAATCTCCTATAACTGACTCCCCCCACCCCCAACATCCTCCTTTGTCTTTAGCTAAAGATAGTATTTAAAGTAACAGCCTTCCCCATTTTGGCAAGTTGCTCAGTTTTCCTGACTTTCTCCCACGTATACATGTTATAAAGCTTTGTTTGATTTTCTCCTGTTGTTCTGTCTCATGTCAATTTTATTCGTAGACCAGCCAGAAGGACCTAGAGTGGATAGAGTAATTTTCTTCCTCCCCTACACAACTGAACATGGTCACTGGATATGGGCACACAGGAGAGATAGGGAAAATATAAGGCTGATACAAGCTCAATACAGGGTTGAATAAGAGAAGCCATATTGTAGAGGGGAAACCATATTGTGACTTGGAATGACCTCTGACTAACTCTGGACTTTATTGCCCCTCCCAGCTGCTGTAAGTTGATAACTTTGTTCTTTTGAGTTCCTTAGGAATGTGATGACCCCTGGGCAGAGAGTCTATGCTGATAGCCATCATCAATGACAACAGAAAGATCAGGGTATAGGACGTTGCTCCAGTCTCTGATGCATATCAAGTAAGACAAAAGACTGCCAGGAACTAAGACCAGATGGATGCCCCCACCCTGAGACTAGATGCCTCCACCCGGTAATCAGATGGATGCCCCCACCCTGGGACCAGATGCCTCCCCCACTCGGAGACCAGCCTGCTATATAACTGGCCTGTAGCCTTTGTTCTGTAAGATGGTTCTTTGAGACATTAGTCAGCCATCTTCCCCCTTGCTAGAAAGCTGTAATAAACTGCCCTTTCTTTTCCACCATCTCGCCTCTTGACGATTGGTTTTTGTCTTGCAGTGAGCAGATCATGCCCTTTGTGTGGTAACAAGGCCATAAAACTATGAGGACAAAGACAGAGTGATTTTCAAGAAAGATGGAGTGGTCTACTTTGGTTGAGTAATGGTGTGCTTCCCACAAAGGGTTAGTCCCACAAGGACTCAGCCAGAAGGGCACATAGTGGGCTTGCAGGGAGGCTGATGCCAATGGGCAGTGTTCTCAGTAGCAGTGGGATGAAGACTGAGTGAAAGATGAAGAACTGTAGAAGTTTATCTAGATTTCTTCAGAGAGGAATTAATTTGATAGGGAAGGGGAGCTGTGATATAATAAGAAATATATATTTGGTCTCTGTCCCCAGTTCTTGGCACAGAGCTCCTAAGACCTTTGTAATTTCCTGAGTGATAAGAGAGCAGTGTCTTTTGTTATTCATAATAAGCCTCTTTCAACCATACACCTGAGTTTATGCTAATGAGGTGACTCTTGGAGGATAGCAGCTGGTTGCCAGAGAAACCAACCATGTGATTAGAGGGTTGGAACTTTCAGCCCCTCCCCAAACCTCTAGGAGGGGAGAGGGGCTGGAGATTGAATTACACACGGATGGCCAATGATTTAATCAATCATGCCTTCATAATGGAACTTTCATAAAAACCCTAAGTGAAAGGGTTTGGAGAGCTTCCAGGCTGGTGAACACATTGAGGTGTGGGAGGGTGGCACACCTGGAGAGGGCATGGAAGCTCTGTGCCCCTTCCCACATATTTGGCCTAGGCATCTCTTCTATTTGGCTGTTCCCGACTTGTGTCCTTTATAATAAACTGGTAACAGTAAGTAAAGCATTTTCCTGAGTTCTGTGAGCCATTCTAGCAAATTATCAACCCTGAGGAGGGAGTCATGGGAACCCCTGATTTATAGCCTGTCAGTCAGAAGTACTGGAGGCCCAGACTTGTGACTGGTGTCTGAAGTAGGGGGCAGTCTTGTGGGACTGAGTCCTTAACCTGTAGGGTCTGTGCTAATGCCAGATTGTTAGTGTCATAATTGAATTAAATTGTAGAACACCCAGTTGGTGTCCACAGAGATTTGGAGAACTGCTTTGTGTGGAAAACCCATACATTTGGTGTCAGAAGTGTTATGAGTAGAAGGAAATAGTTTTTCCTTTAGTAGGAGAGGGAAGGGTCCCTCCCCCATAAAATATGAGAGGCATGAAGAATAGTTTTCAATTTGTTACAGAACCTCTTAAGATGTGAGAGGCTTGAAAAAAATGTTTTAAGTGAGGAAAATAAGAGATTGAAGTAAATGAGGAAGAGTTTCAGAGCCCAAGTGGAAAAAGAATGTGTCGAGGCCCTCAGAGATTCCCTACAGTTAACCATGAGCACTATTTACCCTAAAACCAGCCACTGACCAGAATAATCTCTGAGTCTACTTCCACAGATCCTAATGAAGTTCTTTTTGGGTTTGAGAAATATAAATATACAGACTCTGGAAATGAATGTTTCTAAGGTTTGAAAGGCCTGGGTGGTAACCACGTAATGAAAAGTTCAATGGTCCTAGGTTTAGAAGGTTTGGATTTGACTCCCAGCTTTGATACCAACGACATTGTATGAATCCTTTCTTTCTCTGGGTTTTGGTTTCTTCATCTGTAACACGAGGAATTAGGATTAAATAAAACTGAATGGCACTGTTGCTTCTACCTCTAATTTCTCCATGATCCTAGATAAACTGCAGAAAATGTGGGCAGAATAAAGACATGCAACTCACCAACTGCAAAGGCAGCCCACGCAGAGATGGCCAAAACAAGGATGGCATTTGAGAAGGCCCCCTTCATGGTGGTAGAAAAGCTGTGGAAATAGGCAGCTTTTGGTAGTAGGACAGAAAAAATTCCACGGGAAGTACAAATTCTCACAGAGATCCTTCACTGACCAGGAAATGGAGTCTAAATACTATTTAAGTTTGTTCTTTCCTCAGGTCATTTGGAATGAATTGTGTCAGATGCAATTAAATTGCTTAACTCATTTCCCTACAATAATTGGACATTAGAAAAAATGATCTCAAAAAATAGAATTTTAGAAGATGCCAGAAGAAGAGCTAGTAAAGAATATCTGCAAGGGATCCTTTGGTAAAAAATAAGCATTAAGAATCTTTCAGGGGGCCAGCCCCGTGGCTTAGCGGTTAAGTATGGGTGCTCCGCTGCTGGTGATGGGGTTTCAGATCCCAGGTATGCACCCGTGCACCACTTGTCAGGCCATGCTGTGGCGGCGTCCCACATAAAGTGGAGGAAGATGGGCACGATGTTAGCTCAGGGCTAGTCTTCCTCAGCAAAAATAAAGAAAGAAAGAAAGAAAGAAAAAAGAGGAGGATTGGCATGGATGTTAGCTCAGGGCTGATCTTCCTCACAAAAAAAAATTTTTTTTTCAATGAAATATTTAAAAGTTGATATTTATTTCAGAGGTGAGAAGGGCAGTAACTAGAAAGTTCGGTGACACATGTAAGTCAACAGACAGTAACAAACAGGAAGAGACAAAACACTGAACTCTCACTCCCACATTCTTAATATTCCATAATATTTTTACTTTTGTGTTAATATTTAGTAACCAATAACATTATTGAAATGAAAGCCATAGAGTATTTACCAACAGCTTACTTGCACTTTTATAAATATTATAGTACAAGCGGATTGACATTATATATCTGCAGGTTTCGAAATTTACCGGGCAAATTACATGTCTAGGTAATTTCTGCCCAAGACCGTCCCTCAGCAAAAACAAATAATAAATAATATAACCTTTTTCCTACTTAAAAGTTTGCAAATTAATAAGTCCACTTTACCTGGTGTGACTCCTATAGTTGTTCCAAGAAACTGGCTGGACAAGGTACTTTTTTATTTCTAGTTTGTTGATAATGAAATAACAATGTGTGTGTGTGGGAGGAGAGTAAGTGTCTTTTCAAGGTCACAATACTTGGCAGTGGAAGAGAGTGAACTTTGACGTTAGGAAGTTCAGACACAACTCAAACCTATTTCTTCCAGCTCCAAATTCTGCAATGCCTAAATCTCATGAGTTCCTATTTCAGCTTTCTGAGGGTGGTGTTTACTGTCCACTACCATTCTAAAATCTAGCTGTTCTTGCCAAACCTGAAACTACCATTTTAGAGATGTGTCATACCCGGTTTTTGAATTCATACATTTTTATCTATATTGCAATTAGTATATCCAGGACAGCTTCAGATATTTACGCAGTACTATAAATTGCCATATCTGCATATGCAGTTAATTATTTTATCAGTAGTCAAAACTATGTATTCACTTTATTGAAACATTTAATTTAGAATGTTTCTATATTGACTCATAGAATCTTAAAGTAGAAAGTTACCTTATATGGAATCTGCCAAATTCAGTGTTATCATTTAGCAGCATTGAGAAATATTGGGATGGAATGCTCATTCCCTTAAATGGTAGCTTTTTCTACCACTTGGAGCAAAAGTCCTCAAAGTCCCTTCTTTTAAAGGGAAAGTTTGGAGGTTATTGGGTGACGTAAATTGCTTATGTCTCCATACTGAATGAATGGCCTTAACTGGGGATATGTGCATAGTTCTGGGAAGTCAAGTGTACTTTCTCAGCACTGCTCTGATCGACCACAGTGTCTACCATGATAGTCTTCAAAATTTTTGCTTTCAATCCCTCTAAATTTGGTGCCCACTTATATATTTTTTAAGTGACACCTAAAATTTTTCATCATAAGTTTAAACAGTTACAAGTGATTAAATTACTGGCTTATTTTAATGTTTTAAAATAAAAATGTTTAAAATGAAAATCATTCTTTAAGATGTACCAAATAGAATCTACATTCTATGGTGATTTGATGTCACCATCATATATTTGAAAAACATGTGAATGAATGCACAGTTTGAAATTTCACGTCATTTCTTTTTCTTCTTGAGTGAGTATTTTCATTCTACTTTCCACACAACTTGATTTCAATGTTATGCTTGACAGTCCTTTACTAATCACGCTTTTACACTTTTCTTCAACAGAAATAAGCAAATGAATTGGTTTTTTAAATTTCCTGTGACCATAGGTTATAACATATTAATGTTTCTCTTGGATTGAGTTGTCCTCACAATTATTAGTAGTACACATTGATCAAAACAACACAAACATTACAAATTTTGATAGTTATTTAACATAGAAGTAAGGTTTATTAGATACATATCTCTTAATGTGATGGATGGTGCTAATATTTTTCAATTAGTTCATGTATGTACCCTTGAATATTACTTGTTGCCAGAATTACTCAGGATTCAGCATCAGTTCTATTTTTCTTCTTCATTCTCACAGATATACACACTGAAAAATCATGTTCACCTTAAATAAGTAGATGGGAATTGAAAGAGTTTTATTTTAGCAGTGTCACTTAGGTCTTGGAAGTCCTTCCAAATTATATATCAAAAATCACATCGTGATATCAAAAACAATTTTAATGATTTATAAGCTATAATCTTGATTATATTTTCCTTAAATTTTGATGAAATAAGAAAATTGGAAACCACCTAACTTCAAAGAGAATTATGATTTAGTCACAGAGCCATCTCTATACCCAGCTTTTTAAAAATGCTCTGTCCTGATCCACCAAGTAACTATTAGTAATATCTGTGAATTTTTCACCAAGATACGACTTGTCCAACCTGATATAAACAGAAACAGTTGAGAAAATAAAAACGTTATTTTTTATATTCCTTTGCCCACATAATTTAATAATGTGTTTTACATCACAAGATTATATGTTTTTATCAGAACCTTAAAGCTGCAGGTTCAGCTTATTCAATTTATGGGACAGATCTAGTATATAGTTTAATTGGCAAAACCAGTTCTCATTATCAAATTAGTCAGCCAAATTAATCTTACTTTCTTTTAGGAAAAAGTCTGATTTCATTTTAAAATTCAAATTAAAATGTTAATGCATGTCCCCATAACAGCCGTCTCATGTATCGTCGGTAAGATATGGCTAAGTCGCGGAGCCTAACCGTGAGATTATGCCTGAATGAAGGTGGACTGAGGTACTTCGCCCTTCAGCGTTTCTTATTGATGCTCTCTGTGTTACTCTCATGGCATTAATCCTTAGAGGATTGCATTCCCCAATTGTCCCTTTGTCAGCCTTGAACTTTTCTTCCCGGAGTAAGGTATAGAGTAAGCTTTGAGATGAGTGAGAGGTATCTTTCTTTTTTTCCTAAACAAGGAGAGTGGTGGTGGGAAGAGTGAACAGCCGACTGAGCAGACGTTTTCTCAGGGAGAAAGAGTAAATATGGAGGTCAGGGAGATGAAAATTTTTCTCTTAAAACTAACTATGCCTATGTGCCCCACGGAAGGACTTTTTGTACCCCAAGTGAGGGCAGACTGAGTGCAAGTCCTGCTGCAAAGCCACGCTGCCTGGTTCCAAGACTTTTCTGTTTTTTTGCCTGTCTGTTGTGCTTTGTTTTCTCACCGTTTTGAGTTCTCCCTCCCTATTGGACATGCCCTCCTTGTTTCTCTAGCTTTTACATTAATTATGCACACTTGACTCATCACTCTGACATTCTCCATGTGTATCTTTAAGTCGAGGTATAATTTACACAGTAAAATGCAAAAATCTTAAGTATTCAGCTCCATGAATATTAATGCATGTACAGTCTGCCTACATTTAAAAATATATATATGAGTACAAGATGAGCTGATATATCTCCCATACTGTGCTTGGCATCTCCTTTCCCACTTCCCTTTGTGTCTTTGCCCTATTGCTGAGACACTAGCTGTTAAGCCTTTACCTATTGCTAGTGAGAATATAGTGGAAAAAAGATTTGCAAAAACATTAGATTTTGATATACTGTCTCCTAAAAAAGAATAGTCTTTATTGATATATTGGAAAGAAATAATAGACCATTTCAGGAGGTCACCTTGGAACTGATATGATACAATACTCTAGTTTTAAGAGTGGTAAACTGAGGCTCGGAGGCCAAATAGTACATTTCCAGTCATGCGGGTGTTAGACGCTGAGTCTAGAGCCACATGGTGGTCTGATGATGGTGTAAATTAAATCAGCAAGGCTGTTTGAGGCTGGGACTCATGAGAGTCCTGCATAATTTTCTCAGTTATGAGTCAAATTTCTATTTCTTATTTAAGGCATTTCTGATACATCTATGCCTATAGTGGCTTGTAATCAGCCTCTATCAGTAAACTGTGTAGTGGAGAGAGCTTAGATGAGCATATTTTTACCTCATGATTTTATACCTTCCAAGTCTAAGATAAGTTGATGAAGGATGGCAGTCAGATCCCGCTTGAAATTTGGCTAACAAGGCCCGAGTCAACTGCTAGAGGAACAGGATAGCCCGTATGTGGACCCAAGTTATGTAAGTAGTGAAGGCTCACAAACCCCATTCCCAAGGTCTCTGGAACTTTCCTCTCCACTCCTCTTTCCTCTGGCCTGTCATTTCAAATATATTTTGAATTCCTTGAGAACTGTCACACTGCAATAAATCCAATTTTTCATTGTGGAAGCTTAAGTAATTCTTTGTTCCTTGAAAGCAAATGAATCCTGTCTAGGATATAAATGGCAATTTTCTAGATAACAGAAGAGACTACTCAACTTGAAGATATTGGCTCTGTTTTAACACAAGTCGAGGGCCCCATAATGGCACCGTGATCTGGTCGGTGATAAGTCTAATTCTCACCTGAGTCTACCACCCAGTAGACTCAGGGTGTCTCTGAGATCATTCAGTAGTTGCTTCTTCGAGTCTATGAGGTGTGCAGGGGAGCAATCAGCCTTGTCAGTCAGAAGGGTCCTCACAATAGCTCTTTCCCTATATCTAGGACTGTCACATTAGGAAGTAAGAAGTCTTCTCTGCTGAGATAACCTCTTCAGTGTGACTCTCCCTGACTCAATACTTGATTTCTTCCATTCTTCTAATCCCTTATCTTGTTTTATGTATCTCTACTTCAGTGACCTCCACTGAAAATTTGATTCAGAATGCATTAATTTACTTGTTTAGTGTTTATTTCCTCCACTAGATGAGATGGTAAGCTCTGTAAAGGAGTAGACGCTGTCTTGTTACTACTGTTCTAGGCGTCTTCTCTTGAGGTTTGAAATTGGGACACCAAATGTTTGGTGACCCATAGGTGAATCGTGATAATCGTGGAGGAGACGTGTCCTAAATCTTACCCTTCTGAAACATGTTCAAATTTTCCTGCATCCTTACCCAAATCCCCACATATGTTACTCATGTTAGGTTGAATACTTGTGTGTTTCTCAAAACCAAGTAAGACCTTTTTATGATAAGTTCTCATCACAGTTTCCCTTTTATTTGTCTATCCAATTAAACAGGCAAGTAGGTAGAAGCCAAGAAGGAAGGACAGCGCTTGCCTGGGGCTTAGTTTTCAGACAATTTAGTCAGTGCTGCCTCACTGGTTTTTCACATGAGTGATAGTCAAAACTTACTTAGCTTATTAAATTGCAAAAACATGGCAAAGGCAGAGTAAAGAGAGCTGAAGAAAACTTTTATTTATTGGATGCTTACTCTGGAATAGGCAGGGTATCATAAATGCTCGTATGCATCATATATATTCAAAATATTGTTTTAAATAAAATTTCATGTGACACATGAAATTATTACCAAAATTTAATGTTTTAATTAAACAGTCACATTAAATTCCCCAAATACTGATCACTGAGATCAAGAATGTCAGACCTTTAAGACTGCTGAAATGTTACCTAATCCAAACCAATCATTTGACAAATGAAGAAAATGAGACTCAAATGAGAGAGGCACTGGAAATAAGATATTAAGACTCATTTCCCCTTGCAGATGGCCAGATTTCAATGACCCATAGTAAATATTCTTATTTACT